TCCCGTTCTCATCTGCCAGAACTGCTCTGCAAATCCAACCAGTGATCACTAAGTGCACGTTATCAGGGAATTTGTTTACAAACTGCACTACTACTCCTGCAGTGCCAAGACTACTCCCATGTTTATCTTTCAGAGATTTTACGGGCATAATGGTGGAAACATGACACTGCATTGCTGGACTTTGTTGTTTTCAGACGCTAAGCACAACAGTTACTTCGTCACTGCTGTACTGTGCTTGTCCTGTGAAGGGGGGGTTTCAAGGCCATCAATGGCCACTGTCCAAGAGGTCTAGACTCATTTTATAAAGACAAAAAGCACAAAGAGTGATTGTCTCACATTTTTTAGTTCCGCAGATCACTTGGCTTTTGGACTCATGCTTCGTAGCACAAAGTAAGGGATGTTATAATGACCCAGAAAACTACGGTCTGTCATGCTTGAGCTTTTCCTTTATTATTTGATTGTCTAATATTCTTTAGGGGTAATTTCTTACATACAATCTTATACTAATTTGGTAAAAAAGATACCAGCAGAAGGGGAATGAGGGAAGAGAAAGAGATGGGGATGCAGAGGGTGGGTATGAATGACAGATCAGGGATGAGAAGACAGATATCAGGTGTAGGCTACAGGGGTAGGACTGGTTTTGTGAACAGAAGGGAATTAAAGACCATGATGGCAGGAAGTAAAGGATGGATCTAGCCTGCAACATGGAAAAGCAGATAAAGTTTGAGACTCAAGAAGAACTGATAGTAAGGAAGAAAAGAAGAAGAGGAGATCAAGAAAAGACACAATAGAAATGAAAGCTCATTTATTTTTATTTTCCAGCCCAAAGAGACCAATTTTTTTCTACTTAAAGTATACGGTATGTGTTTCAGCTGATTAGTTCAGGGCAAGGAGAAAAAAAATCCCTGTCAAAGCTTTCATTCACTGAAAGATGCAGTTTGGAGTAGCTAAAAATATTTGTGGATTAAGCACATAGATTTGGCTATAACAGGAAATAATGATTTGGAAATGTTGGAATAAACCTTTTCATAATATCCACAGCAATTTTTATTTCTCATTTGTGATAAAAGGCAAAAGTTTAAATTCAAGCAGTAATAGTATCAACACTGACTGCTACTGGTGACATCCCAGTTGTAACAGCAGTGCATCCAGGATGCATCCTTCAGGATGCAGGAGACCTTGGTTCAAGCCCTTTCTCTACCTGCAGACATTTGCACCCGTATCTCCTACAACACTGTTCTGTGGGTGTTTTTGGGTGTGCTGCTTTTGCTTGCTTCTGCTGATGCCGTGCCTCTTTGCATATACATTTACTTTGCACGTGGCTATATATTGTTGTAGAGAGGGGGCGTTCTTCCTAGTGTGGTGCCCAAAGCACCAGGTGATAAAGCCATCGTCTCACGCACAATCTCTCTGCTGCAGCAGGCTGCGAAATTTGCTAAGGAAATCTAAATGAGTGAGAAAAAAACACTAAGAACAATTCAGCCTGCAATAGCTCGTTGGTTAGGATGCTTTCCTGAGAAGGAGGTTTAATTCTGCCCAGGACTCAAACCAATACTTTACTGTTTGTGAGCGAGGGCATCTTTCACTCCTTCAGCTGCTTTGGGAACTTGGTGTTTCAGTATGCTGAAAATGGCAAACAGCAAAACTTTCAGGGACCATAGCCGGTAACAACATCTAAGGATATGAAGAAAGGTGCTCCAAAAATCAATGATGTTCAGATTTTCATTTCAGAAATAAGAAACTGGTATGATTAGTGTTGTTCCTTTTGTTTAATGTGAGGTTGTCCAAGAAGAAAACAACCACATTTCTGATCAGATGATGAACTGAAAAAGCAGCTACTGACTCAGTCCTAGGTAGTGGTTTTTATTTTCTTGAAAATGATGCTTCCATGGCCTTGAAGTGCTACAGAAGTGCCCTGACCCTCAGTGATTTCAGGGGCCCGCCATCGAGAGAGCTTGGAAATCCATGAGGATTGAGAGTGTAATGTCTGCCAAGGACCTTCAGCAGTCTCAGTAAATGAATGAGCTGAATCTCCCCAACCTAAGCATCAAAAGCAATCATACCTTAAAGGGCAGCTGTGCCAGCTGACCCCAAGCAGAGATCCCACCCAAAGCTTAAGAGCAAACCTGGCAGGGAACCAAGTCAAGAGCAACAGCAAAAAGATAGCAAACCCCCCCATTTTTGGCATGTCCCAATCTAAACATACATAGCAACTCAAAATCCTTCTTCAAAAATACTGTAAAAATGTCCCAGTTCCCTGCTGAATTAACATACCCTTGTGAGCAAGAGTGTCAGGGCTGTTTATAGAACGATCTCATTCATACAAACTAAGTAGCATCTAGCTGGTATCTGTTCCTTTTTGTGTGCTTTTTCCTCCCTTTCCGAACACAGTAACAGCATCAAGCAGTGATACTTGAAGGAGGTGCCAGTTGCCCAGCAAAAGTGGTCTTCAGCCACCAGCTATCAAAATTACCCTGCAGATTTCAGGCAGAGTTTAAAGCAATGACTTAAAGAAGGCTTGCCTATTGAAATGTCTTTATATGAGTCCACAGGTCCTTGCTGAAAGACCTAGATGAACTATTGCACCTGGCTGCATGCAGATGTGGCAGTCCCTTCTGCTTTTACATAGGACCCAGGCAAAATGGGTGACTTCCCAGTAGTGCCCAAAGCCCATTTGCAGAAGTGACTTGGGCATTTAAGGCCTCCCAGCCCTATAGCAGCTGTACTCTCTGTTCCTCCTGTGAATTTACCAAAGCACCCTGGGTCTATGCTGCGTGAGAAGAGGCTGTGCAGAATGAAGCTGGCTCAACTTCTCTTTCTTCTCTGAGAGTTCCTCCTAAACCTCTCGGGTAAAGGCACGTGGCCAGCGTGTCCTCTGGTAACAATCTGTCATTTTACTGGTATGTGCTGCAAAATGTCTCTAGATCCCCATGTTCCTGCTGGGTGTTGTGGAATCAGAGGCACACACACCAGGGCCTGGAAATCTGAGCTGCTTTGAGGAGGATGGAGATCCCCCAGAGGACTCTCTCAGAGGAGATCAGGCTTCTTTCTGGCCATGCTGATATTTCATGTCTTCACTGCTGCCTGCAGCATGGTTTAGAGGTAGCAAAACTAGCTGTAAACTAGAGCTTAATACAGGCTAATTTAGCTTAATTGCTCAATTTTCAACCAGAGCAAAAGTCATGAGGCCCCTGGCATCTTTAACATATGCTGGAATAAGGCAGCTGGGAATAGTGTTATAGGCTGGTTCCCTGGCTGTCTTCCCACTCCGTACGTGTCCTACATCCACAGACACACTGAACAACCCGGGCTGTCATATTTAAGTACCTATAAAAAATGATGTTTGAAAGGTCCCTAGTGATCCAAGCTTGAAAGCAGCCAAAGAGTGACTAGACTAAATGCAGACTCACATGCACGATCTACGTGAATCCGTAGCTCTGCTACATTATGCTGCCACAACAGTACAGACACAGCACATTCCACTTTTATGGAGCTTTTTTAGTTTAAAGAGCTAAGTGGTCTTCCATTTCCACTTACAAGAAGCTAATTCATTTGACTACGTGATATACTCCAGAAAATTTGCTAGATGCATGTTAGACGTACAGAAAAAGAAATTCCCTTTTTAAGGTGTATTTTCCGCTATAAATTATGCCAGCACTCGGTGATACTCACACCCAGTAACCTGCAGCATGAAGTTCTACTGTAATGAGTGCACCTAGACTAGCACGAGCTCTTTCTGGCACCAAGTCTTTCTACTCCATCCCAATGTGCTGAGCCTTACTGTACACATTTTCCTGCACATCCGTCTCATACGGGTCAAGGAATGGTAAATATGAAATGGCTTTGTCCTCTGCCTATCAAAAGAGAGGAGATTACTGTCAGAGACCAGAAATAGTCATGATGTCACCCTGCGCGTACATCCAGCAGAAAGCAAAACAATGACTAGAATGGGTGGAAGGGCTGCCAAGACCCCATAGCAAAAGCAACATCTGAGCTGAGATTTTGATACTAAGGAAAGGGGCATGAGGATAGACAGACTTCTCTAACATACTGGAGCTCCAGAATTTAAAGACAGCCTTGTGATTTGATCAAGAGTGTCATCTCTTTACCCTGTATATTATTCACACTCTCCTTAGTATATACAAACTATCTCAAATGTTTAATTTTCTGGGGGGGATGCTTAAGTCCCCTCAGATGTAAAGACCATAGGAAGCACTGATGATACTGCTGCATCACATGCATTACATTTTGCCATTTACCTGCACAAATGTTAATAATTTTGTATAGGGAGAAATAGAAGTGTAGCCAAATTCAGTCCCAGTCTGTGCCATGAGAGCTCTAGATCTCAGATACATAGCATGACTTACCTGAGCCCAAAAAGAGGCATGACCAGCACACCAGGATTTCTCTGTGCCTTTGTGCCTCCATCGGTATCCTCCTCTGTGCCCAAGAGGTTCCAGTACATCTCCAGGCTGCATTTTTCTGGTTCCCAGTATGCCCACTCTGCCTTGCAAATCCATAAATGCTGGCTGTAAAAGCGGCATTTTGGACCCTGAGCTAACAGAGCAAAAGATTATATTGACCCAGCAGGACAAATTACACCTTTTTGCATCTTCTGCCAGCACAAAAGGCATAGCCTGAGCCCACAGTCAGATCCAGTGCCTTGTGCCCCACCATATCCATGCTGCCACATTCCCTTTCTCTTAGCAACACTACGTGACGCTTTCACTCGCAAGTGGACAACAGGACCAAGCTACACTACACTGAATTAAGACTTTGTGTCTGGGGATAATGCAGGGCTTTTTCTTGAGTCTCATGGAAAGGAGCAGCATTAGCAGGAAGCTCTCTAGCAATGGGCACCTTCCACCATGCTGGGGCTCACGAGGCTGCACAGGTAACAAGACTGGGACTGGTAAAAGTGACACTGTGACCAAGCTGATGCCCCAAAAAGACATTCAAAAGCAAAAAAATCATCACACAATTCTCACTAGTAAAAAAGCAAAGCAGGCAAGGAGTGGACAAGGAACAAAGGCCAATGTTTTCCAGCTCGGCTCGCCTTTCAGTGCCTGGTTTTTGAATGCCCCACCAGAGACGCCAAGAAGGTGCATACAGATTGTGAGTATTCACACTGCATGTGCTCATTTTAGATGCCTGAAGATGGGGACATTGCAGTGTGACTGAAAGCCCCGGTGGCAAGGTGCCACCATCAACGACCATCAAACCTTTCTGCTGTTTATGGCATGCTGAGCTCAGCAATTCATGTGAAATAATTGCTCTTACTGTCATGCCAGGGTCATGTTCAAAGGAGTAGTTTTTAGGCTGTTCTACATTGTATCCAGCACATGCCTGCTCCTCGCTGATACTGGGAGACATGAGTGATGCACACTGCTTGGGTTGACACTATGAGGGTGGCCTGGAGGCTTCCTCTGAACCAGATTAACTTGAAATCCATGTTGTGAGCCTGCAAATATGGCCTGAGAAACAGCCAGAGCAGGACATCCGTGGGGCCCCACTTTCCTAGCCATGCTCTGCGTCTCCCAGGCAGCCACCAGGTGCATTCCCAGAGCATTCCTCCATGAAACAGCCATTGGCAAAGACGGCAGCAGGATGCAAAGTCCACTGTGCTTATGGCTACATAGAAGCCAGACTTTCATGCCAGCATAGGTGCAATCATTGGAAGAAAGGACCTTTGTGTGACAGGGCTGATATCCTCCTCTGAGCCAGGGCTCTGGCTGCTTTGCGTTCTTCCTTATGTCCTAGCTGCAGATACTTTGTTTTCCAAAGAAAGGAGGGAAAATAGACCTTCTGCAACACACTTCTCTGTCAGGAGAGCTTTCCCGTCAGCACAGGACAGACATCATTTCTGTCATACTTTCATGGAGTCTCTGCTACACAGAGGGGAAAGAGGAGGACAGCCGGTCATGTCCCTGTCCTGTCTGGCCATGCTGTAGCCCTCAGGACCATGGCTCCTTCTATCTTTGCTGCTGGTTCACCAGCACAAACTCCCCATCACTTCTGTGCGGGGTTCTGCCCGCCTTCAGAGGCTGTACCACATGCCCTGCAGTGAGTCATGCCCCCGTTCCAAAGGGACTCAGGCTCAAGAGGGGATCAATGCTCACGGTACGTCTGAGACCCAGGGAGAAGCTTTCTATTCCAACAGCTCATTCAATCAAAGTGCAATCATTTAGTCAATGTTTTTCCACATGTTGTCTGACAGTCATTTCTGTTTCTTTTTCAGTGGAGTCCAATGAGATCACAAAACAATAACCTACTTTCTCTAAATTCTGCCTTTATTGCTAAGTTTGATAAAATGTCATTATTTAAATTGACCTGTAATGCCTGAAGGGGGTGATTTACAACCACCTAACCCTCTCCAATTTTGCCATGAAACCACTGCCAAATGCTTCTTTGAGCATTTCTAAATTCAGTTTGTCAGATTTTCATTGCTCATCCTGTTGATCAGGCAGACGGAGGCACATTTTTTCCAGTCTTGCTTTCTACTAATCCGCATGAGTAGTGATTGTAACTGAAGGCTATTAAACCTCATTTAATTCAAATGTAACGTGATTCTCCAACGGTCCCACTGGGGAGGCAGGGTAGACAAGTGATCACGCCATGACAGTCCCCAGGACGCCCGCCCTGCTCAGCAGCCCAGAGATGAGCAGGATCATGGAAGGGCGACACTCAGGGACTGAAATAAAAGGCAAAGAGCAGATGCCAAAGGGAGTGGCATGGCCCCACCAACATCTGTATCCCCATATACCCAAGATCCTGCAAATGGGTCCTGCTGGCAGATGCCCTGGTTGAGAGGTGGGAGCAAACGCAGCTGCCTTGCCCTCCTTTCCCTCTGGAGAAGGCACGGAGGGGGGCACGGCACGGTGGTTTCTGTCTCCACACACGTATTAACACCAGCTGCCAGAGGACACCTTCCTCGGTCGCCCTGGACCCCAGCTTTGGGGGTTTAGCTCACCTTACATCAGTGGTGAGGCAGAGCAATGCTGAGCATTATACCCCCATCAGGAATTGAGAAACAGGCTGCAGTACACCGTGGCCAGCCAGGCGTTTCTCAGAGATGAAAGATGTGCTGACCCTGCTGCACTTGGTGGCTTTCCAGCACACGGCAGTGTCCGGACCAGCTCCCTGTACAGCTCGGAGGGCGATGGAGAGGCGACAGCAAGCATCCTCGCCTAACCCCTCTCCCCCTGCCCCCCAGCTCACTCCTCCCGGCCCCACATCCTGCGGCCACTGCTGGCTGCTATGAGGGTGGCCTGGAGGCTTCCTCTGAACCAGATTAACTTGAAATCCATGTTGTGAGCCTGCAAATATGGCCTGAGAAACAGCCAGAGCAGGACACCCGTGGGGCCTCACTTTCCTAGCCATGCTCTGCATCTCCCAGGCAGCCACCAGGTGCATTCCCAGAGCATTCCTCCATGAAACAGCCATTGGCAAAGACGGCAGCAGGATGCAAAGTCCACTGTGCTTATGGCTACATAGAAGCCAGACTTTCATGCCAGCATAGGTGCAATCATTGGAAGAAAGGACCTTTGTGTGACAGGGCTGATATCCTCCTCTGAGCCAGGGCTCTGGCTGCTTTGCGTTCTTCCTTATGTCCTAGCTGCAGATACTTTGTTTTCCAAAGAAAGGAGGGAAAATAGACCTTCTGCAAAACACTTGTCTGTCAGGAGAGCTTTCCCGTCAGCACAGGACAGACATCATTTCTGTCATACTTTCATGGAGTCTCTGCTACACAGAGGGGAAAGAGGAGGACAGCCGGTCATGTCCCTGTCCTGTCTGGCCATGCTGTAGCCCTCAGGACCATGGCTCCTTCTATCTTTGCTGCTGGTTCACCAGCACAAACTCCCCATCACTTCTGTGCGGGGTTCTGCCCGCCTTCAGAGGCTGTACCACATGCCCTGCAGTGAGGCATGCCCCCGTTCCAAAGGGACTCAGGCTCAAGAGGGGATCAATGCTCACGGTACGTCTGAGACCCAGGGAGAAGCTTTCTATTCCAACAGCTCATTCAATCAAAGTGCAATCATTTAGTCAATGTTTTTCCACATGTTGTCTGACAGTCATTTCTGTTTCTTTTTCAGTGGAGTCCAATGAGATCACAAAACAATAACCTACTTTCTCTAAATTCTGCCTTTATTGCTAAGTTTGATAAAATGTCATTATTTAAATTGACCTGTAATGCCTGAAGGGGGTGATTTACAACCACCTAACCCTCTCCAATTTTGCCATGAAACCACTGCCAAATGCTTCTTTGAGCATTTCTAAATTCAGTTTGTCAGATTTTCATTGCTCATCCTGTTGATCAGGCAGACGGAGGCACATTTTTTCCAGTCTTGCTTTCTACTAATCCGCATGAGTAGTGATTGTAACTGAAGGCTATTAAACCTCATTTAATTCAAATGTAACGTGATTCTCCAACGGTCCCACTGGGGAGGCAGGGTCAGCAGTG